CTCTCACACACACACACACACTCACACACGTAAACACACACACTCTCTCTCTCTCTCTCTCTCGTACACACACACTCGTGTGTCTGATCTGGTGTCTGTGTTGGTTCAGGGTTGCCGCTCAGATGCCGACGGTGCACTATGAGATGCCGAGTGGCTACAGCACAGATTACGGAGCCGAGAGGTTACGGATCCCCGAGGGCCTGTTCGATCCGTCCAATGTGAAGGTGAAGTCTAGATCAGATCTGCTTCAGTGCATCCAGATCAGCGCTTCTCAACCAGGAGCCCAGGGCCAGGAGATGGGCTCAAATGAGAAAAACAAGCTGAAAATCAAGGCATACCTTATTTGAGTTAATTCCCTGAACAAATGTCATTTCATTTAATCAGGATTCACACAGTCTTGGAAATCTGTGATTTCTAGACCTGTCACAAAATCTTATAAAGTCATGAAAATGTATCAAATCTACAGAAGTTTTGGAAATGAATGAAATGTTGAAAAATTATGGAAATTAATCAAATCTACATAAGTTATGAAAATTAATATAGTCTGGAAAAGATATGGAAATTAATAAAATATAAATAAGTTATGGAAATACCTAAATTCTTGAAACGTTATAGAAATGAATAAAATCTGGAAATGCTATGGAAATGAATAAAATCTTGAAAAGTTATAGAGCCGAAAAATCTAGAAAAGTTATGGAATTTAATAAAATCTTGAACCGTTATGGAAATTTATAAAATCTTGAAAAGTTATGGAAATTGATAAAATCTAAAGAGGAAATTGAAATGAATGAAGTCGTAAAGTTATGGAAACTAAAAATACTGAACAGTCATGAAAATTATTAACATTTTTTTGAAAAGTCATGTAAATTAATAAATTTTTAAAAATTTTTTAAAATCAATACAAATCTTTTTAACAAGTACTAGAAATGATTTTCAAGTTATATGAAGCTATAAAACACTTTCTATAGAGTAGAAAGTGCTGTTTGTGGGTAAAAAAAATAAAATAACCCTGTGATCACAAACAACTAGATAAGTCATGCAAATTCATTGGTAATAATAGCGTAAAATACATTTCTGGAATTATGGAATTTAATTATTTATAATTATTTGAATATACTGCCATATAATTATTTTAATGATCTCATCTTCTCAGGGTCTGTCCGGTAACACGCTTCCGGCTTCGCTACCGTTCGGACGTTCTTGCTTACGTTCTTGCTTACTGCTCTGCGCTTTGCTCCCTATTTCTGTACTTTTCTTTGATTTTTTGTAAATTAATAAATTTTTAAAAATTTTTTAAAATCAATACAAATCTTTTTAACAAGTACTAGAAATGATTTTCAAGTTATATGAAGCTATAAAACACTTTCTATAGAGTAGAAAGTGCTGTTTGTGGGTAAAAAAAAAAAAATAACCCTGTGATCACAAACAACTAGATAAGTCATGCAAATTCATTGGTAATAATAGCGTAAAATACATTTCTGGAATTATGGAATTTAATTATTTATAATTATTTGAATATACTGCCATATAATTATTTTAATGATCTCATCTTCTCAGGGTCTGTCCGGTAACACCATGCTGGGCATCGGACACGTGGTCACTACCAGCATCGGCATGTGTGACATCGACATCCGGCCGGTAAGAGAGAGAAAACGATACAGAATGTCAACATGCAGAGCACTGAAGCATTAGGACCACTGATGTTCTGCTCTCTCTACGAGTGTGTCATATGTGTGTGTGTGTGTGTGTGTGTGTGTTGAGGGTCTGTATGGCAGCGTGATTGTGACCGGAGGAAACACACTCCTGCAGGGCTTCACGGAGAGACTCAACAGAGAACTGTCTCAGAAAGCACCGCCGGTGAGTTCTGATCCCTGTCTGATCCCAGTCTGATCTCCTTCCAATCTCTGTCTGATTTCTATCTGATCTCAATCTGATCCCTGTCTGATCTCAGTCTAATCTCTGTCTGATCTCCTTCTTATCTCAGTCTAATTGGTCTAAACTCCATCTGATCTCAGTCTGATTTCCATCTGATCTCTCTCAGATCTCCATCTGATCACCGTCTAATTTTAGTCTTGTCTCTCTGTGTCTGATCTCAATCTGATATCCTTCCAGTCTCTGTCTGATTTCCATCTGATATTTGTCTGATCTCAATCTGATCCCTGTCTGATCTCAGTCTGATTTCAGTCTGTTCTCTTTCTGATCTCAATCTAATATCTGTCTAAACTCCATCTGATCTCTGTCTGATCCTATTTCGATTTCGGTCTGATCTCTCTCAGATCTCCATCTGATCATCATCTATTTTTAGTCTTGTCTCTCTCTGTCTGATCTCAATCTGATTTCAGTCTGTTCTCCTGATCTCAGTCTAATCTGTCTAAACTCCATCTGATCTCTGTCTGATCTTCTTCTGATTTCCATCTGATCTCTGTTTTATCTCTCTCAGATCTCCATCTGATCACTGTCTAATTTTAGTCTTGTCTCTCTGTGTCTGATCTCAATCTGATATCCTTCCAATCTCTGTCTGATTTCCATCTGATCTTTGTCTGATCTCAATCTGATCCCTGTCTGATTTCAGTCTGTTCTCTTTCTGATCTCAATCTAATATCTGTCTAAACTCCATCTGATCTCTGTCTGATCCTATTTCGATTTTGGTCTGATCTCCATCTGATCATCATCTATTTTTAGTCTTGTCTCTCTCTGTCTTATCTCAATCTGATTTCAGTCTGTTCTCCTGATCTCAGTCTAATCTGTCTAAACTCCATCTGATCTCTGTCTGATCCCAGTCTGATCTTCTTCTAATTTCTGTCTGATTTCCATCTGATCTCTGTTTTATCTCTCTCAGATCTCCATCTGATCACTGTCTAATTTTATTCTTGTCTCTAATTCTAATTTTAGTCTGATCTCTGCCTGATCCCTGTCTTATCTCCGTCTGATCCCTGTCTGATTTCAGTCGATTCTCCTCTGATCTCAGTCTAATTGCATCTGATTTTAGTCTGATCTCCATCCAATGTCATTCTGATCTCTTGTCTGATCTCAATCTGATCCCTGTCTGGTCTATCTCTGTCTGATCTTCATGGGCCAGTTGTTCAAAAGTAATCTGATCAGATTTCAGCTATCAGATTGGATCAAATCTTGAAAACTGGTTGTTTAAAATAAAAACCTCAGATTCTGAAATCGGATTAGATCATAAAATCCAATCTTGGTTTTGATCAAATCATTAGTTCGTGTTGTTCAAAACCTTTAGTAAGATTAGGATACATTTGATCCAAAAAAATCAGGATTATGCTGATCCCAGCATAAGGATGGATTTCAGGAACAAAAATGTAGAAAAAAATTTAAACTGATCCAAAAATACAACTTTTGTAACATGTAATATATCCACAAATCCCCAAACAGCTGTCAAACAAAAACACTATATTTAATTTAAAGTGTTTTTTAATCACTGTTTGTAAACTACATTGTGCAATCATCAGAGATGAACCAGTCAGAAGTAGTTATTTGTGTAAATGCAATTCAATTTTTTTTTAAAAAGAGAATGCAAAAGCATTGACATTTTTTTCCTATCATCATTCCAGTCTGATCCCCGTCTCATCTTCATCTGATCTCTGTCTGATCCCTGTCTCATCTTCATCTGATCTCACTCTGATCCCTGTCTCATCTTCATCTGATTTCAGTCTGATCCCCGTCTCATCTTCATCTGATCTCAGTCTGATCCCTCTCATCTTCATCTAATCCCCGTCTCATCTTCATCTGATCTCAGTCTGATCCCCGTCTTATCTTCATCTGATCTCAGTCTGATCCCCGTCTCATCTTCATCTGATCTCAGTCTGATCCCCGTCTCATCTTCATCTCATCTCAGTCTAATCCCCGTCTC